CATTGTCATCTCCCGTGGGGTGAGTCGACGATCTCGAGTTCACTTCTGTGCCCGGCAGGACAGGTGGAGTGGTGGAATTTGGACTGTTGGTGGTTGAATAGTGTGGCATGCGATGTGTGAATAGAGGTTGGAAGTCAAAGCTCCACAATCAGAAGTTTCGCTTGCAATCGGGGTGTGAGGAACAATGAAAAGTGGACATCCGAGGGATGCCATTTGGTTTGAAAATCTGTCCTGACCGGTAAGTGACACGTTAAAATGTCGTTAAGAAACCCATGAAGCATTGAAAGAATGCTTACAGGACTCCAGTGTCCTACTTGTCAACGGCTGACAACGTGGTCTGACGCAGGTGTGGTGCAAGTGGACTAAGAAAGTTGTTGCTGTTCCGTTGGGAGGAGAGTAGTTTGGAGGTGTTTTGGATAATTAAACAATTTTTTCTCCCTCCCAAGACCGTCTGCAGTGGCTATTTAAGCAGTGGAAAGTGAATTTGATATCGTCACTACACAACTCAAACAAATGTCAATGTATCAATATTTCTATCTATACTACTGAAATGCTTTATTTAAGTAAACTACAGTATGCTTGAGGTCAATTTTGGCCTTTCTCTTGTTCTTGACTGCGTTGACTGGCCTATGGACCAAGTCGAAGCTAAACTACTCTTCTTGATCTCATCGAATAAATACTTTTAGACCTCCTTAGTACCTTCGAATGCTAAATGTGTAGCCGCAGGATGTTACGCTGGTGGCAGCATAGAGCCTATCCAAATTCATCATCACTTGCATCCTGATTTCCATACTTTGAGATCAACTTCTGCAGTGAAATGGAAATGCGCATACCTTGAGTGGGAGAATCGCTAACGACCCCACAACAAAATGGTTTAGTTTGGCGTCAATCCCATCTTCGACAAGGCATTAACAACTGAATCATCATTGTCGTGAAGCATTTAGAAAGGTTTCATGTGTATCGCTTTGCCTTATGATAGTTGGCGAGGACACAACTGAGCTTTCTTCCACTCTGAACTGTAACCGATCCTGCTCCCTCTGTTAAGCATCTAGTTTGGACTGGTGCTTTGAAGTCGCTTCCTGATCCCAAATGACGTTCACTAAAGGTATGCCCGCCGATGTCTGTTAACAGACCAAACATAACTGTGGATTCAGTGGAAGCTGCTGAGCAGGCCATGTACAATCTCTCCGTCTCCAAGCAGCTAACGAATGACGAGGCTGGTCTGTGAGCGCTTCTTTTCAGCAGTAAACACGTTCTAACAGCTGACGCGGGAGGTGTATTAAAGGCAGCGTCGGAGACGTCTCTCACGGGGCGACTACCTGAGTGTGACTGACGGCCATCTTGGTAAATATCTTGCTCCTGGCTGTGAGGGCTGATCGTCTGGTGCAGCCAAATCCACGTCTCGCATTCTTCACCTTTGCTGCGCATCTCTAGCCCTCCTAGATGTCTCCTTTAATCAAATGGGAAGTCTCGGAACAGTGAGCTAAGTCTACTCCAACACTTTCAACACTCAACACAACATCTGTTGACGTTAAATTACTCAAAGCAGATCGGAATATTGTGTTCTATTTAAGAGGACTAGTCGTTGAAGAAAAGTAGATTTGTGGTGTCTGATGAGCTGGTTAAATGTGTCTTAAAGGTCAGAAGCGGAATGCAAATGGGAACAGCGTAGTTAAGGGGCTGACACACACACACACTGCTGCCGAACTGTTTCTGTGTCATCAGTTATGATTTGAAGCAAATGTTTGATAACCGTCACATTAGAAAGCAGTCCCCAGTGGGAAGTTGAGGAAACACTGGAGGGGAGGTAAACTGATGGCACTGTTGGAGGTCGTCCATATATACGGCTGCATAAACAAGATCTACTCGTTGGCAGAGGAAGGCAAGCCGCCTGACGATCCAGAAGAACCCTAAATTTACCACCTTGGACGCAGCTCCAAAGAGAAGCGAGGATATGCAAATCACACTTGTTTAAATGTGCTTTAAAGGCCAAAGGCGGGGTGCAAATTTGAACCATCGTAGGGAATCTCTGCCTTTCTCTCGTTCTCATGTAGCACCGTTTAAAATCGGCACTAAGTGGTTAGTAAACGCGACGTAAGCCAACGGTCTCCTAAGGAAGCAGTTGATAGGCCCTCCGACAATAGCGAAGTTTCAGCGCATAGAAAGAGCTCTTTAACACATAATGGTTGTTTAAATTGTGCTAATGTGAGAGGGAGGCGCAAAACACCGTGCAGGTGACGTGCAAGTACCCTTCCTCGGATCAGCTCGGACCTTCATAGGAGTGCTCAATAAACCATTCTCGTAATATCCTCCTTCTGAGAAGGCTGAGGTGAAGGCCAAAGGGAGTGATAAGGAGAGCACAACATGCACGGCAAATCGACGTTTCAAGCAAAGTCTCTCCTTTCGCATGTGAGTGGTAAATTGCTCGCTAAGAGGACGAGAAATGGTTTTGTTAAAAAAGGAACTCTACCGATTAGAGTTACTTGTAAAGCTTCAATTTAATGATATTGTTAAGAGGGAAGTATGGAACCCCTTCTTTTGGGTTAGCAGCACTTGTTCCCGATTAAAATGTCGAATCTCTACCAAGCAAGAGTGAACTTGCGGTGCAAAAATGGCACGCGACTTATGGCATGAAATTAATGACCTACAAAGAAATGCGAAGATCACACATTTCCACTATTCGGCGCATAGAAAAAACGAAGGCCCTTTCGCTTACACACCAATAAGGAAGGCAAATTCATGTGCAAGTAGAGGTTGTAGTAGTCAAATACACTGATAATCATACTCAGTTAAGTGCGGCTCATCACTTATTGGAGGGGAAGGTGGAGAAACATTGCTGTTACCCTATCCTTATAGCCTACAAACCGTTTGCGGCGCTGACACGGGATGGGGATGACATGAAAGTCATGAAACCTCAACTACCACAGAGTTGGCAAATGCTGCACTGTGCCGGCATACCACTTGCACACACTATTTTTCTCCGCCTTAGAGGAGTGAATATTTTGAAACCAAATCGCTTTAGTGCAATTTCTCAACATTTCGGAACCTTCTAATCAAGTCCCATGTCTGGATGCAATCCCAAACTCATGTTACCTAACGATAAACAGGAGGATGTAGTGCGTTCAGAGACTTCCTTTTGGGTGTTTGGGCCGAATGTATTTTCTCAGCCAGAAACTAAAGTGATTAAGTTTTTTAGCGGCATGAATGCCGTCCAAATTGTGTGAAGCAAGATGAACATTGAGCTGACCGTCACGCCTACAAGCAGTCGAACGTAGCATTACAGCACATGTGCATAGGTATCCTCAAAGCATTTGGTGACGCGGCTACAGAGTGACCAATGCTGAAAGGACTGTATCCATTCGAAGTTAGTCAGTCGCTTTTGGCAGGACACAACTGTTTTTTGAAACCACAGACACATTATGTCTTCGCGAATTTGTGCTTCTCATCCTCTTTACAACTATGTCAAAGGCGCAAAAAGTCGTTAACATTCCAAAAGTAGGTTTAGAATGAAAGCTGTAGCGGTTCCTAAAATTACTACCACGAAGGAAATTGCAAACGTGGGTGCAAATCGCTTTTATACATATATTATCTTTATCATGGGACAAATTTTTTTTTGCTCTTGGGTCATAATCAACATTTGTTACAGTGCACTTTTATTGGTCTAAAATTGACTCTGCCACGGTAACCAGTGTTTGCAGATTTTCCTTTAGGGGCTCAATGCCGATATGCTCTATTAAAGTGAAAGCCTTTCCATACTGACATTCTTTTGGCAAGATTTAAGTAAGAATTTCCTATTAAATGTTAATGAAGGTCAAACAGGTTTTTGTGGTTTCTTCAAAAATTATAAAATGACAGCATGATGTTGTGTCGCATTAAACAAACAGCTGGTTTTGGTAATCTGGGTATCTGTCGGACATTTGTTTACTTGCTGTTTGGATCATGTGGTAGTCTAGGCAATTTTATGACCGCCCTCTAAGATTCAATGTCAAAATTAGAAGGAACGAAAGATAGGGCTGTTGGAGGTGAGGCATCCCTTTCACTCTGCTTTATGGCTCAAGATATGAGAAAACAGATGGGAGGTCATGGTCCACTCCACTTCTCACCCCTTGGCTTGTTCTGACCGTTTCTCATCAAGAAGATTTTTCACACGACCTTGATTTGTACCCTGTGGATTAGGTAGATCTTGTTAAGCGTACTATTTTTCAAGAGAATATATCTCAAAATCTCAGGACGACTACACAAAAATGTATCCGCCTCTTAGAAAAGTGAGTGGTGTGCAGACTTAACAAATGCATTTTGTGATGGAAAGCAAGTGCTAAAGCGAGTTTAACTAACTTCCATCCTATTGTTTTCGCACTCCCTGAGTCAATGATGCCACACTTCCTTGCCATGTTAAATTTGCACTGGAGTAAAACAATAGGTTCTTCAGGATAGCTTCATAAAAATCACCTTATCGTAAATGTGTAAGCCACATCAATCCGTTTGCTATGCCCTCTCGACCTATAAACTGCTATTTAATACAATGAGGGGTATGTTGGAGCCCCAACTCATCTTTAGTTTGGTGGGCATCAGAGGGTGGTGGTAGTGCTGTTATGAAAATAAATAGGCGAATAAATCATGTGTTAAAATTTAAGGAACATCGATGCTGCGACCGCCTCTTTATTATTGTCCTGCGCTTTGGTTCACGTTGACGCCCAATCGGAGGGGTCCATCCTATGCACACTGTGACATTGATCCATTTCGGCTACTAGTCCCATCCACCATTGACAGCACCACTGCCTGCATCAAGAACCCACTGGTGACAATTTGTAAGTGCTTTCAAAAAGGAAACAAACAAACAGTCTTTCATTGTCAATCACAGTTCGCCTGGCCTTGACAACAATCCAACCATGTCATCAACCACTACACAATCAAGAATCAAATCAGAAAATAGTAAGCGCTAGTCAGGCAAGGTATTCATTAAGACGGCGACTCAAATGTGCAAAACTAAAGCTTTGAGTTTTCGGATCACTTGCAGCCTTTCCAAAAGGGGGTTATTTCTGAGGTGTCAAATGAAACTTGGAGGCCTCTATGTTACAATGTGTGTCTGGCTTAGGGGAAAGAATGACTAAAAATCATATCCTAGTAATGATACAGGGTTTTATTCTGTATTCATTACGTACAAATGGCAGTTAGGCCTTGAAATCGACAATTTGAAGTAGTTGAAGTTGAAAATGCGTGATGGGATGAGCTGGGCGATAAGCAGTCAAAGACTTCAGTGTTTATACTCCGCTGAAGTAGAAATAAAGAGATTTGAGCATGTCAGGTGTAAAATATACCAGTGTGTCTAAGTTGGCCTTTATAAGGGAGAGGCAGGAAAACAACTGGAACACGAATTCAGTTCGTGAAGAGCGTGAAGTCTCATTTTACACTCCCCATTTCCGTTCTTTCGGTAACCGATACCCAATATCGCCTGAAACCGCGGTAGATGAATTAGCAGAAAGCTGGTTAATCCGCGATATTTTTGCATCATGCGTGAAGGAGACCTTAATTAATTTTGATAAAATGGAAACATAGTGCCTGTGCTGATTTGGAGCTAAAATTTGGAGTAATTTTTAATCCATTATATGCAGAACGCATTTTGTACAATTATTGCTCATGGAAAGTGTGACGCTTTGTTTATGCGACGACGTAACGTTTGAAGGGATTTAAGATTTGTCTGATCTTTGTGCGTGTTGGCTGGCCATCGGGCCATGCTCCGGCCTAGACGCTTCGTTCTCATCGGAACGCGTGAATCCAGCATCACTTACTGCCTTCTTCCACCCGGTGGGGAGCCTCGGGACGCTATAGAACGCTAGAGGACAATGGACCTGATCCAGTACTAACAACCAGAGAAAAGGAGTAGGAACGAGGCTATGCCCGCCCTAAGGCAGTCACAATAATTGCCCAAGTGACCGACTTTGATATGGGTATGCAGATAATTATTGGTTCGCTACAGTGTGCCTGCTACGATTGTTCTCATAACAAAATATAAAATATAAATACGGAAGAATTTCATCTACCTGACATGATTTTGTAATATTCTAAGGCTAATGAAATATGAGCACTTAATTAAATAGCTTTCTTTATGCTAGTGCAATTTTTGATTGATTGAAATTCAAGTTGTACAAAGTAAGCAATTAGTATCATTTCATTACTATTATGAACGTGCCGATTTTTTAGCATCCGTTCTTTTAACCAATAGGAGAGATCACCCAAACACTGCCTGAAAAGGGGTCGGCGCGTTCGTCAAGTTGGTTGGGTGGTTTGTTTTATTCGTGGCCCTGAAAGTTTGGGCGTAATTTATGCACAATGGAAAAAATTGTTCAAAAACTCAATAGTCCCTTGTTGAAACGAAAGTCTTTGGCCGATAGGAATCGGAGCTTTGGGGTTCCTCTTAAGTCCCTCTTTTACAAGAAATCCTCTTTGGTGCCTCGCATCGTGGAGAACATCTGTGAATTTTTACAGTCCTCCGGTTTTCAGACTGAAGGCATATTCCGAGTCAATGGAAGCGCCAAGGCTATTGCAAGCTTAAAGGCACAATTCGATGTAACATGTGCTGATGATCTGCATAGCTCTGCATGTGGTGACATCCACGCTATTTGTGGAGTATTTAAATTGTTCCTCAGAGAAATTCCTGATGGGCTTGTTCCTGATGCTGCCACCAGACAAACAGTTAAGGTGAGTAAATAGTGATTCTACGACCTCGTTCAAAATTGAATGTCAGCTAATAGTTTTTGCGCGTATTTGAATAGATTATGGATCAGCTGAAAGACGAAAAACCTCAGTGCTTATTGAAACTGAGGAATGTTGTTACAAGTCTACCGGAGGAGAATTATAATTTGCTAAGGTATATATGTCGTTTTCTGCGGGAACTTGCCTCTAATGAAGATTCAACGAAAATGTCGGCCGCAAATTTAGGCATCGTGTTCGGACCTTGCCTTTTCAAGTGCGGCCTTGGTGTTCAGGTGAGTTTTTTTGTATTTTCTTTCAGTCACGTTGCTTGCGCCTCAAGCTGCTATTATCATCTATTAATTCTCTGAATTTAGGCGTCCTCCCAATTTGTGTCACCTAAACTTATCTTGCAAGAAATGTCGTCTCAAGACGATATTCATTTTCAAATTTTTTTATTAACCAATCCTTTTTACAAAATCCCTTAGCTTAATTATTATTCTTAAGTTTCAATTCGATGAGTGTCCAGAGAAATGGAGTCATTTCTTTTCTTCTGAATGAACACTGCCTTATTACGTAGAGATCTCTACTTTTGTCTCTTCCGCATATTTATTGCATTGCACTTTTGGCATAGTGCCTACCATCATTACTTCCCCGCGGTGTCACATGCACGGATGTGGAAATGTTCCTTTTTTGGACAGATTTGGCTGCGTACAAGTGTTTACCTTTAGATTATGCTAGGGCGCCTACATGTCCCCACTTTTCTTAGAGTGTATGCTAATAAGTCATCTGCTCCCCTTTTGCCTGCATACATTATTGGGCGCGTGTCCTTAAACATGGAAACATTATTTCCCCTTCTTCAGAAAGCACTATCAGTTTTCTTCTTTGCCTTCGTAGTTAAACGGTTGCAAAGGTCTTTGCCTAGCTTTGTTCACTTCTCCAGCTGGGTACTGCGCGCACTGTCTTTTACAGTTTCCGAATCCATAGTTGCCTCATTTCCTTTTGCTACTTAACTCATTTAAAGATACAAAATTGAGGATTGCGTTTTTTGCAGACTTGTATTACTGCTTCTTTGATTTTTCCTTCTTGGAGCTAATAGCTTCCCTGCTCCCACTCTTTCCATAGGCGTACGCATGTTGTATGTTAAGCATTCCCACATTTCTCCTCTTCCTCCGTTCAGTTCAGAGAGATATTTTACTGATTGTGTGGTCGACTGTTATGCGTAAGTACTGACAATACTTTCCTCATATTTTCACGGTTCTTCACGAGATGGTCTTTAGGATGGTCAAAACCCTCCTCTTGGAAGGTGGGGAACCTGATTGTGTGTGCTTTCCTCTATTATAGCAGCAAACAATTTTAAGGACTTCTAGATGGCATGCATGATATACTGCTCTACTGGTAGGATACTATTTGTACCCCAGCCTTGTTATGACCCTCATATCGTGATATATCGGGTGAATATTGCATGCACAATTCTAGCTTTACAAACTGTTTTATAGGTCTGCAAGCCCGCAGAAGTTTTTCGTTAGATTATGTGCAAGATACTTTTGGTAGAGATGGTTATTGTTGAACAGTCGGGATTAATGCTTGACCGTGAAGAGTGTTTTACATACCCAAACTTTTACTTGGTTGTGGTTGTCACATCTTAAAACGGAGTGGATGGCCAAGAGGTTGTATTTTGACATTCCTCATATTCCCCTTGTTGGTGTTCTTTCGAGCTCAGACGTTTTAATCACCAATCGACTTGATGGTCTGTCGAATTTGTCCTTTTGTATATTCGCTTGTACCTGTTTCGAATTCACATGTGATGAAGAAATGACCATTTATCCAGATGTAACGATTTGTTCGCACTTATTTATTTTGAACTAACTGATAAAGGAAGCACCTGGTTTGTGTTTTCCTTCGAAATTATGCACTTGCCTTCTACAAATCCTCTCCGATGAGGTGGCATTTAGTAATGTTTCATTTGATATTTTTAACTTCAGTGCCATAATAAGACATTTCCTTGTATTGTCTGTCAAAAACGCCTAGAGTTCTTTTAAGATCTTTTACATTTATGCTATTTTTGCAGTAGAATTTTGTTAAATATTAGCGTCTGTGAGAAATAAGCATGAAGGCTGACTGAAGGAATATTTTACTGAGGAAAACAAACTGGGCTTAGAAAATGAATGTTGAAAAAATCGTAAGTAGTGGCAGCATCACAAAACTAAATTGTAGCTATCGTGCGGTCCCACATGAGAGTCATTTTTCGTTGAATTTGTCTGATCGAAGAGGAATTCATCGGTGCTCATATGCATGAATGGCGGTTTTGAATCACAACACATTTTTTAGTGATTCTGTTCCTTCAAATGCCTTCTTACTGTCGACTATGGATGCGGAAACCTGGTTTCGATTGTTTGTAGGTTAAACTAATTTGGTGTCAGTCTTTTTCTACGATCTATTTTAAGTAGTAAAATTTCTAGAATCGGTCTTACTTTAGCACCACTTTTCATCGTAACTGTTACTTTTACTTCTATTGATTGTGTCATGATCGTCACTGTTTTAAATAGGTTTAGTTTTTCCGAAACCAATGTTTCAAATGCCATTAGTTATTTCTTTTTTACCATCTTTTTCGTTGTTACATCCCCCATCACGTTCAGACAGCCAGTTGTACTTCATCGAAAGATTTGATTATCTTTTTTTGAGTGACTTTGATGTTTACAGGCATCTGAATAAGTGACGGGTACTAACAGGGTTTCATGAGCATATGTAAGGCTATCGAATCCCTACGTCACTTCAAGGCATAATTCACTTAAGTAGGCTCTGAAAATAGGTTGTTTTTTGGAATTGGCATCTGGAAAGGTAGTTGAAACCAAACTGAAGACGTGATCGCGTTCTTGGTTAATCACCACATGTGGCTATTTTAAACACTTCACCACTGAAAACAAGTTTCGGTCATTTTGCTTTAGCTACTAAACGAAACGCTGGTTATAAAAATACCCTTCCAAGATGCCTTTGTAAATGCCGCCTAGACGTTTCGAGCGACAATTTAGTAGAGGTGAAGCCGAACCATTGATCTCACTTGGCGCATTTACCGATGGATGGCTTGGGTTAACCAAGCAGGCATCTCGTATTGCTAAATAATTCATTACTTTCTAGGGCCTTCGACAGCAGAATCTTTCGAACCTTGCCACCACGTACTTCATTACGTACTTTGAAACCGTATTCTCCTCGCCATCGCCGGTCAACACCAGCGGACACCAATTCAGTCTGCTAAAATCCGCGACGAGTCTGAACAGCCTGCTCCAACGACGTCGAAATTGCGCTCCACGGCGATCCATGGTCGCAGCTGGTTCAGCGGAGAAAACGTTGGGGGAAGGAGTGGGGGAGACCCCATATTCTCGAACAATGAGTTCAAGGGGTGATTCTGCGTCACCTCTACTCTCCGCCCCTGTTGCAAATAGCTCTGACATAGGCTCTCACTCCACCAGCAGTTTACCCCTTTCGCCGCTAAGACAATGGCGGTATTCAGATGCTGAGGAAATGGAGTTGAGGTAGGTTCTGATTCTAATGGATTATTATGCTTGAACATATCGAAGGTGCTTTAATTCATTTATCTGGTTTATCAATTCAATTTGACAATTTTCTCTATCCGTTCCAGTTTCCAACATTTATAAATCCATTTAGGGCGGGATGGTGTCTGTATGTCTATGTAGTGCATCTCCTGGACGAAGGTTAAGGAAATAAGCATAAGTCTTGAGTTTTAAATCCCTTATTGCTCAAATTGACTGCTCCCTTACTGCGCCAGTGTTCTTTCATTTCGACATGTGGTTCTGATTCACTCACTACCCCTCTGTCCGCCCATTGTCATTTAGCTACAATGACTATCCTTTCCACGCTGTCTGGCTGTACCACACCCACATGTGGTGAGAGGGCGACCGAACAAACCGAGTTTCCCTTTACTCTGCATTCGTGTCACTCTCACTGGCACGTCGGTCCAACCAGTGACCACCACTTTTCTTGCAGCATTCACCACACCTCACTCCAATCTTGTGTTTCGTTCACAGCGAAAAACAGGAAAAGGGGGGTGGGGGGTGGGGAGGGTGGGAGTGTGTCGGTGTACGGAAGAAGGCAACAATTAGCCTACCGCTGTCGCGTTGGAGGTGTCACGAGTGTGAGTGTAGTGGTAGCAAGAGGCTTGAACACACTCTCAACTCTCATTGGTTTCGCACTACTAACAACTGCACAAACTGAATCGCTACTGTTGGAGCGGGCAAGGGATTGACTGATGGAATGGTGATCGAGTGCGGTTCATCTGTCC